CTCTCCTCCCTGTCCCTCCGCGTCTCGCTGCTCTTGTTTGTCGGAGGAGGCAAACATTGGCACACTCCACCACCTCGGTGCGTGTGGCGAGAGGCCGGGAGGCCCGATTGTGTCCACAGAGCAGAGTTCCGCCGCGCGAGAGGGAGATGATGGAGCCCTTCTCCTTCTTCGCGACGCAATCTCAGCGCGCGAGTGTATCCTCGTATCCGGCGCGCCCGCGTCGCGCAGATACGGGCCTCCGGACCAATCCAATCACGAGGATCACTGCGGCGAGCGCGCTCAGGTGAGAGATCCTCTCTTGTTTTATCCACTCCAGCTTCCCCTTCCCCCCACCCTCCCTCCTCCTACCGTTTCCCGCTCTCTGGCCCCGTCCCAAGGCCTTGTCCTTAGCTGGCCGCGGGCCAAACCTAGGCGCTTTGGTCGGGCGTGGCGGGGCGTGGCGGGGCGTGGCGGGGCGAGCGAGGCGTGGCGCAGCCAACAGAGGCGACCACAGTGACCGCGCCACCAGCCCTGGAACAACTCTACGCGGGAGCGCTCGACCAGATCGCGGTGCGCGAGGGGCGATGACCAAACCGAAACTGACCCAACGACACTATAGCGCTTGGATGAGCTCCTTTTCACTTCACGGCCGTGAAAGGGGAACTCAACTCCCATCCCGCCCACCCGCCTGTCCGACCAGTGTCGTCTGGACCCGTCTGCTGCGCTGCCTGATAAGATTCTCATTCCCACCAAGGTGGAATTAAATCGTCCATTTCAATTAAAAGTAATAATGCCTGTCTGTCTTCACCCCCCGCCACCCTCTTCCCCTCTCGCTCGCACCAACTGGTCCGGATGAGGTAATCCCATCAGGCTGCCCCCCGCTCCGCCCTTAGGGGGCGACTATCCGTGACTCCCCTGCAGCGTCACTCCCATCCCATGTACCCTTTTGGCCGCCAAACGCTTCTTTAATTTGTCGTTTTTGTTTTTTATGTCCGCTTCTTCTTCTGTGGTTTTTTGCCGCATTTCATCTCTTTGGATTTGAGGTGCGTACAGCAAAGCGCGCCATTGATCGCATTATAGCGCGCCGCGGCAGACACGAGAAGTCAGGTCGCATATCGGGAAACGATTGGAATGAAAGAGCCATTTGGGTATGAATAAAACACGAGGACTCGCTATCGCGAGTAGTACATGGATCCGTTTATAACGAGGGGCGAAGTTTATCCGGCGGGGGAAAACAGACACAGCAGATCGACGAACTTTCGAAACAAGTTTCGTCATATAATTACGACTTGCTTATCTGAGACCAGAGGAGGGGACGTTGGCAAATAAAAAAAAATTGTCAGAAAGGGGTGAAAACTTTCTTTCCCAAACAGTAAAACATCTCGTCATTTAGATGCCATCAAAACCCATTACATTTCACCCCATGGGCGGGCATGGCAATTCCATTCCAACGATAGCCGTTGTCCAGTCGCAGCAGAGATATGCGCTGCTGCAGCCTGCAAACAGTGCTTGGTAGTGGTGGTAGTGGAGGAGGAGAACGAGAAGAGACGGCGTCGGAAAGGGACAAATTGCTTTTTGACCGAGAGTAGACACGACTAGGGGGCCCCTCGCCCACGGCTCGGCCCTCGGTCCCGCCTGGTCAGCGTCTCCGCGTCAGAAGTCTGGCGCCTCTAACCCAAGTACTGTCCAGCAAAATGACCTCGTTTGGGAGAAACAAACGGCCCTCCAACCAGGAAAGGAAGCCCCCCCTCTTACTCTAGTACAGCAATAGCGCATAGCTTCCTAGCGAGAGGAGCACTCGTGGGGGAGAGAGGGAGGTGCATGGAGGAGGAATAACGGGAAAGGGAAGGGGGTGAAAAGGGTCTGGCGGGCCGCTGGCAGTCGGCATGGCCCGAGAACATCTCATTCCCAGTCGAAGTAAATGAGCCCTCAGCCCTCTCCCGCGCCGAGTCGCGCCAGGCCAGGTCCAGCCAGCCCAGGCGGTGTCCAGTTCGGGAGGGGGAAATCGCAAGTCCAGCAACATTAATAAAGTGGCCCTGCCAAAATCCCAGCAGGCGAGTGGAAGGGGGCTGGGGCGACTACTACTGGGGTCTGATTGGAACTTCTCGTAAAAGTTCTCGTCGGAGCACACCGCGGACCGTTTCAGTATTTTTTTCACCGCCTCGTGAACCTCTGGGCTTTACTGCTGTGCGACACTTACCCTCAGCTCCTGGAGGCGGACCCGCACGTTGTCGGCCCTGCTGGCGTGGTCCTGGCCCGTGACGGGGAAGGAGCCCAAGTACTGAAACGAGAGAAAACGTTCACGTTAAAACATAACAGTGTTGCGATAAGCGATTCAGGGGACGCGGGTGTCGGCTTCCAGTGCGTGAGAGTGTGGAAGATAGAGAGAAAGAGAGCGAGAGAGAGCGCCCAAAGGAACGGGGTGCAGAGAAGCAAGGCAAAACTAAAGTGATTACAAAAGTTCTTAAATGACATTCGCTAAGTTTGATCGACTCTGCGCGCGGGGGCCGCAGCAGCACAGCGCCGCGCGGCAACGCGGGGGCGCCTTAGTTTAGATCTACATTCCCATAGTGTCGAAGTAGGCAGCAGACAGACGGGCAGACTCTTGCAGACAGGGCTGCTCGTAGCCGACGACACGGCCTCTGCGGGGCTAAGTGAGCAGGGGAATAAATACAGACAACTATATCCCACGCCTTATCTCTGCTGGCGGCGGCGGCGCTACCCCGCGAGCCGGGGGGCCGCGAGATAAGACCCTGGCGCCATCTACCGGCGGCAGGACCACCCCCCGCCCAACCCCTTCTGCTGCAACCCTCCCGACGTATCCGCGCTCGCGCGCAATCACTCACCCATTCGATCAGTCGCACACTCACTCACTCACTCACTGGAAGGGATTTGAAATTAATGCAATAAAAACCGTTACCGTAAGGTTACGTAAATTAACTGTAAATTACTGAAATTTTTGGTAATAAACGTCATTTTTAAAATTGCACTGTTTTTAAGAAACCTTTCACCTAAACATCGTTTTTCTTTTTTTAAATTTTTGCTCACTCAATCTCTCACTCGTACTCTCCTTCTCGTTTAGAAATAAACTAAGACTCTTGGGTTTCATGCCTTATGTACATTTCAACCGGTCCGCCATCTGCACTAAAACTGACGGCATATTGATGAAAGGTAATGCGCTCTGATATTGGCCATTTTTAAGACAAAAGCCGCATATGAGCAGACGCAGATACAAAATAAATCGCGGTGGCACGCAAGGCGGCTGTTTACCAGCCAGGCCACAACGTTGCATGAAAGGACTGAATATACTTGAATGCTTTATTCATGTTATTCAATCTCCCTTCGTGTGAATACATATCAGAGGGATCCTCATCTTGACTGCAGCCCCGTCCGCCTCCTCCTCCTCCTCATACCCCCGACACGCATCCCCACGAAAGGAGAGCTCACGGGCGCAGCTGCTCGTGTGAGAGAGTGAAGAGGAGCCAAGGCTGCGCATGCCGATTCGCAAACAAAAATATTAATAACGAAGCAGACGCGGCATCTCGTGAGCTCGGCTCACTCGGTAAAACGCAGTATGGGCTGGGCTGCGGAGCCCGATAGAGGCCCTGTGGAAAAAGCAGCATCACGGTAATGGGTCAGCTGCCATCCCCAATAATACTCCGCTGGAGAGAAACGAGGCAGAAAGGTACAATACCCCTGCAAAATGGCCGTATTTGTACCACAACAACATGGCGTGAAAAAATATGGCAACAGAACGAAAATAAACCCTCCTCGCGATATCGGTGATGACGCCCCGCAGCACCTCTGCATGCGTCTCGTCGCCCAGCCGTCGCCAGACTTTCACGTGCCGAGCCAACCCCCGCCCGCTTTCCTCCGAAATGAAGTCACGATCCCATGCAGCTGCGAGGTTCTGTCTGACTCTGCTGCTGCTCCGGCCCGCCCCGCCCCGCGAGCGCGTCCAGGATGAGATTCGGACCCCAAACGCATAGCGCGGTCACAACGGGCCAGTCTGCGACCCCCCCTCCCCCCTCCTCCTCCTCCTCCACTCCCGTCGCGTCCTTTGCCAATTCTCCCGGCCAGCTGTTGGCCCGCGGGCTGGTTTTGCCTCCAATAGCTCCTTTCAATATTCAGCCGGCGTGTTGGTTCACGGCCCGCCCCCCACGGCCCCGGCCCCCACAATCCCCATGTCCACCGATCGTGTCCTGCGAGAACCCTTCTTGGCGGGTCCTGCGATCCTGCCGGGGGGTCCTGGCCCGGCCCGGCCCCACCCCCTTCTCAAGTTCTGCCGCCACCGGCAGAAGAATTACCAACTTCCCGCCACTGGCTGGCCTACTTCTAGTCCGTCATCTTCTCGTCCATCTTTCGATCACGTTCCTCCTCCGGCCACGCCTTCGCCTCCCCCCGATCCCAGTATCGGTTCGCGCAATATCTCCCCTGTAGTACACACTCACAAGACCGGGCAGATTTAGGAGAGCGGCACACTGGCAAAAGAAAGGTGTGCTAAAGGTCACACCGTTTCGCAGGGGTTTCAAAAGAAATTCTTGAGAAGGCAGTGTAAAGGACCGAAACGATGGCGACAGTGCATTTGGCAGTTTTTAAGACTTGAGTAAAGGCCCTATACCCTTAGCACCTTTGCTCTTGCTCACGATGCTGAAGCACACTTTTTCCAGGAAGTGCCGACCGACAGTCCAGAATCAACAGAAAATGGCACACAACCCTTCTTTTCGAGTGGGTCGAGTGCGTTCTTTCTTCTCTCGCGGCGCACGCGACGCCTCGCACGCGCCCCACACGCAGCGGGAAACCCATTCCACGACACGGAACCACTTCCTGCGCACGGGGCTCTCATACAATGCTCCGCCTCCAAACCCATTCCGGCCTCCAGCGCAGGGCGGCCTCCAGCACAGGGCGGCCTCCAGGATCTGATCCGACGTACTGTATACTGTACTGCAGCGGCGGCACAGGCATTCCGAATTGACTGGCGCTTGGGCCTATCTAGATTTGGGTGTGAGTAACGGGTTGAGGCAGGCGGGCGACGACCACCACCGCCTCCGAGGAGAGCGAGAGTAGGTGGGAGAGAGGGAGGGAGAGAGGGAGGGAGAGAGGGAAAGGGAGAGAGAGAGAGGGAGAGAGGGAGGGGGAGAAGACCGGAGAAAGAGAGAGAGAGCAATGGGGAGGGGGTGGCTGAGAGGGCTGTAAACCCTTCGATAAGCACCGCTCTGAGAAACACTTCCGGGCCGGCAATCGTATCGCCGTCTAGCCCGCCCTCGGCCGGCCCGGCGCAGCCAGCCAATGCATAAACGACTACCGCCCCCCGGCCCCCCGTCCACCCCTCCGCCCATACCATCTCGCAGGTCATTAGCTTAGTCGCACCCCTCCTCCTCTCCCCCTCCCTTTCGCGTTTGAATTCCCGCGCCCTTTCCCTTCCGCGCATTCCCTCCCTCATTCTCCTCGTTTTACCGACCTCCTCCTCCCTCACCTCATTTTTCTCTACATCCCTATGAGCTTCTACTCCTTCCACTCACCCTACCTCTCTTCTCTCTCCCGCCCCCTCCCTCTCTCCACCCTTTCCCCTGCAGATAACTTTCAAATGACATATTCACATTTACTTCAGCAGGTTCGCTACCCTGGCCCTGCCCGCCTGAGCGAATTCCGATAACGACTTACACGTCCATATCTACTGTCTACATTTCAAACGCATTTACACGCGCCAGCATATATCGAAATAACGTATCAGGGGGAGAAATGAGACAACATTAAAAAAGCGTCGGTCGAGGGCATATCATACAACGCACCACATTTCAGCAGAATGGCCCATTAAAGCACGAGAGCCAGCTCTGCCCTAGGTTTGCATGTCGATTCAAACAGCCTAACAAAAACACACAAAAAAGCATCCCTTATTGTCACAAGCCGTTCACGCGCACGCCCTCCTTTCAAAGGGTTCAATTTCCCATTTCTGCCGAGCTGACCTTGGGTCTTGCTCTGCTGCCGGCTGTTATCCCGTCGTTAGGACAGGAGGCGCGTCAAGGTCCGGGCCGCGCAGCCGTGTTGCGTGTCGACATGATTCATCGCCGGATCATCGTAAATTACACCTCGATCCCGTCATGTCGGGATTGGCTCTCGCAGCGAACGGAGGGGGCGGAGGCCGGAGGAGGGGTAGGATAACAGATAGCGAGGGTTGTTCTTTAGGGCATTGGGAGGGTGGGAATCTTAAACTTTCAATACACAATAACCCTTTGCAAATTAAATAATATCCTACAATACAAGGCAAGAGCCTTGGCCACGTTTTTGCTGCTTTATGTTGGGCGATAGGCTCAGAGCAGACCCAAGTGTGCGAATGTCACAGTATCCGTTCGTCGCGACTAATTGACTGTTAAAATATGATGTGCGAAGTTACAGTGGGCATTCACACCTCCGCGAGTACAATTCCCACTCACACACCTACAAATGTACAACTTTCACACTTGGGTTTAAGTGTAAGTACAGCTTAGGAATGTGGCGCTGACAATCATATTCGCAGCAGGTGAGGATATAGGGATATATGACAAAGACCTAAGCAGCAGCCGTCGCCTCGGAGAGCGGACGGAATTTGGGAATAAGGGGGATGGAGGGGTGCGGACGGGCGGGGGCTGGGCGACAGGCACATTCAGCAGAAATATCGGGAGCGGGGCGCGCGCGGGCGGGGGAAGAGGGCTTAACCCAGTACGTTAGGTTTGTCTGACGGGCGCCCCTATCTCAGCGCATTCCAGACCGCTCGCACACCCGAGTGGAGAAAGAGAGAACGAGAGAACGAGAGAACGAGAGAACGAGAGAGCGAGAGAGAGAGAGAGAGAGAGAGAGAGAGAGAGAGAGAGAGAGCGCCTCGAGCGGCAAAACTCAAATTAGGATTGCATTGTGGCGGCGGCAGCAGTGGGGCCACACGGGGGGGATGGGACGGGCTGCAACAAGGTGGCGGTGAAGTAAAGCCTTTCAATTAGCATGGGGAGCGCATGGGGATGAGGAGCTTGCGGGGAAAAGAGGCAGAGGAAGGGGAGGGGAGGGAGGGGAGGGAGGGCTGGAGGCGGCCAGGTGGAAAAGGAAAGGGAGTTCCAGGATGCGGTAGACGTGCGGGGGGCGAGGCTGCGGGCGAGGCGAGGTGTGTTGTGTTGTGTTAGGCCTGTGTGAGTTACATGCCACGCAGATAAAAAGGGGGGAAGGAAGTAAGCGCAGCAAAAAAGCAATAAAGCTATCTTTCTAAGGTAACTAAAAGATAGAGAACAGAATATCGTAAAAAAAATATAGGTA